CCAGGGCAGGGAGTTAAGGCAGGCCCAGGAGTGTACCCCAGCAGCTCCCAGCCAATCCCCAAATTCAAGAACTAGCCAGTGCCATCCTCGGCAGCTGAGGCATGCGCAGAGTCACCGCAGGCCACACACAAACAACTTTACCAGGCCTTGTTCCCATCTGGAGCCAAGCCCGGACCCCTGGGCTCCCACTCTACCTCCCTCCCTACCAGCTGCCACGTTCCTTCACTGGGTCTTCTGATTGAGTTTGCGCCATACCAGCTGGCTCAGGAGGAATGCGGTAAGAACACTGCTGCCCACAGTGAGCAGGAAGAGGCCAGAGAAGTTGTGGGGCCAGCGGGTGTGCAGTGGCTCATAGATGGACCGCCGGGCCTCATAGTCCAGTGCCACAGCCTCCAGCTGAGCCAGCGTGCACAGCACCAAGAAGACATGGAAGAGCTGGTGGCCCTGTCCAAAGACGTGGCAGCTGCCAGGGAACCAGCGCTCAGGCATGAAGGCCGAGAAGAAAGCGGCAGCCAAAAGGAAGAAGACCACCTGGCATTTGTGGTAAAGAAGAGCAGGGTCATCCGTGGCAGAGTTGGGGGACACCAGGATGCGGTGCACCACTGGGCTGATGTCCAGTGCATAGGCCAGTGCTGAGGGCATCTCTTGGCAAGTGCGGCCTAGGAAGCCAGGGTTCTGGATATACTTGCTGTAGCAGGAGCCAGTGCAGGAAAGCCAAGCGAGAAAGGCAGCCATGGGCAAGAAAATGGCCTGCACCTGGGCATGCCAGGCAGGCTCAATGGCATAGTAGAAGTGTACCAGGGCACTGCCAAATTGGTACACAGCCACACCTACATAGTCCAGGAAGAAGAAGCTGTAATGCCAGAACTCCGACTTGGCCTGGAGGAGGTGAGCCAAGGCACTGAAGGAAAGGTAGGTGAAGGAGGAGAAGACAATGATGAAGAGGGGCAGGGCGTGGGGGTCTCCCCAGAAGTCCACGGTCCCCATAAAGATGGCCAGCCGCAGCAGCAGCACCAGGGCTGCCAGCAGGTGGGTCCAAACGTTCACTGCCTCATTGTGCTGCTGGAACAGTGTGCGGAAGTAGAAGCACCAGGTCTGATGCAGCGGCCGGTAGCCCACATAGATGTACGGCTTCCAGAAGAGGGGTGGCACCTTGGCTCGGTCTACCGTGAAGACAGGCTCTGGCTGCACAGACGGCTGAGGCTTTTGGTCAGCCTGTCGCAAACTGGGCAGAAGGTGACTGAGCTTCTGGACCCCTAGCATGGCCATTGCTGTGGGCCGGGCAGGGAACTGGGGGAGAGACCAGAGAAAAGTCAAAAGCTGATATCCTCACCCCCTAACCCCCATACCCAGTTCTTACTCCCTCCTCCATGCCCCTTTATCCCTACACCGAGTTTCAGAGGAGAGTAGTTGTCCTAAGGGAGAGCTCAGCTCTCCCTCGTGATTGTCCAGCTCCCTGATGTATCCACGTGCCTAGAACAGTGCCTGGCACATAATACGTGCTCAATAAATGTTTGAGAAATGTATTAATGAGGTTCATTACCACCACCATCTTTTTTCCAGTCCGGGCTCTACATAGCGGCCCTCATTATTTTCTCATGTGTTCATTACTGCCATCAGTGATCACCTGGTGGTGACAATGACCTTGCTACAAATCCTCTGCCTCTACCTCTAGGCTCTTCAGTTTCCCACTGACCCTACATTACCCTACATGATTTGGTCCCTGCTACATTTTCCGGCCTTATTGTTCAACCACAATAAACTCAAATCCAGCCACAGCCTCACCAACCCTCTGGGCTATGATCTGAATTCAGTTTGCAATCTTAACCACTACCCTAAACTGCCCTTTGCAAGACAAGATGTCAAGCGCTATTAATCATTTCATAATTACATACTATACAAGGTTTGCCTGGTATCAGTTGTTTACTTCAGGCTTATCATTATTCACTGTGTCATTCATTAAATCAAAAAACCTATTGAAAAACCAACAGCTGCCAGACAACTCCCCTCCCTGAAATAAATTCCTTCCAACAAGTTTATTGGACTCAGCATCCAGGTTTTCTGACCTTTGTTCATCAGATTTTATTACAACTACCTTTGCACCAGTCACTGCAAAAGGCAAGGAAATCTGGGCAGTGAAAAGCATTCATGTGCTCTGCCACCAGCAGCACCATGATCACCCCACAAAGCCACTCAATAATGTCATTACACCACTACACAGGGGTGCTATGACAGGGGAGTCTAGGGCTCTTCCACTTTCTATTCCCCAGATGGCCTGGCACAGGACAGGTTTAGGAAGCAGACCTTGATGAGGGTGGGTATCCAGAGCAATCTCTAAGTAGTCTGCCCACCAGGCTGCTAGGACTCCTGTCTCAGACATCCCAGCCAAGCCCAGTACAGCTCCACGGCCCCCTTGCACTACTTACCTAGAGGTTTCTCTCAAGCTGGTGGCTGATGACTTTGGCTATGGGACTGGGCAAATTTGCCAGATACCAAACACTGGGTGGCACTTCCATAGTTGAGGGTCACTAGGGGCGGGGCTTCCAGGGACTGGAGGTGTCTTGTGTGATGTCACCAGAGGGTGGGGCTAAAGACAATCTCCACTCCTCCCCTCTCCCCCATATCTCCGCTCTCATATTGATCAAATCTAGGCTAAACTCTGCCTTGCTAGCCAGACCTCAGCTGCAAAAGGAAACTCACCATTTACCTCTGCATGAAACATCTGGGGAACTGAAGTTTGGCTGAAAAGTTGTGACTTACCCAAGACCACACAGCAAGGCAGGCAAAGCTGGGCTGAGACCAGGTGTCCAGGACCTGGTTGATGGATGTCAGGCAAGCTCGACTGGCTTCTGCACCCTCTTCAGTGGGAATCAGAATAGAAAGAAGTTAGGAGTAAAACAGAAAACAGATACTATAAAGGCTCATGATGGAGATGGACTTCCGATTCAGACAAACCAGGTTTTGATACGGGACATCACTTGTAGAATTCTCAATCTTTTAGCAGGAAATGAAAAGGGACATCTCTTGCAGAGTTCTTAATCTTTTTAGTAAACCTAGTTTTCTTCCCTCCTTTCTTTAGGAAAAAGGCCTTCTCCCTCAAATCCCGATAATTGCCCCAAAACTGGTGACTCTGGCTATTGATAAGGGTCATTGGCCCATTGTGAGCAGAAATGGTGTTAGGCCAGACAGGGTTAGAGTCTGAGAGGGGAGGGGACTTTAGCCCAAAGGTCTTTTTTACTCTTTAAGAAATATATTAACCAAGCCTGTTTCCCTTTACTCACTTAATAGGCAAGTCAATAATAGAAATTAATAGATATATGATTTAAATAATAAGTTTGTATCTTCTTTTCCTTGTCTAAGAACTGAAGTGGCGCTTCAGCAGGCCATTGTTAAGCAGAAATGGTGTTAAGCCGTGCAGAGCCCTTAAAGTCTGAGCGGGGAGGGGACCTCGACCCTTCTAGCAGGAAGCAGATACAGAAGAAGAGACCTCCTGTCCCTCAGCATCCATATTAATAATAAGGGGGTTCATGGCTCTTAGAAAAGAGTTAGGCAGGAAAGTTAGTTAAGAGGTTTCAGGTCTGCCTGCAAAGACATTGAGGTCATCCTATCCTAGAAGGGCTCCACCCTAATCTGCCAGCAATTAAGCAAGCCAGAAGGCATTTTTAGGCTAAAAGTAACTCATAGAAAGAAACAAGTAAGCAGAAAATTAGGTACCAGTTTAAGCCAGTCATTCGTACCTGCGCAATAAAGACCCAACCACCTTCGACTCCCTGAGCCTCATTATACTATCATTATAATACGATGCATATACCCAGAAGTTCATTAATATCATTATAACAGACTGAATTCTGGGAACGAACATGCAAATGATAAATCACTGAGTCCTGTCGACCTTAGTTGTCAAAGAAGCCCATCCTCTCAGAAAAGTAACCACCACAGCAAATAAGGATAAAAACCCCAAAGGCTTTGTTACCAAGCCTTTTGAGCCCCGCTTCTCTTGCTCAGGCCCGCTTCCACGTCTGGAAGTGTACTTTCCCTTCTAATAAAGCTTTTATTGTCTGCTATATTTCGGTGTCTTGCTCAGTTCTTTGTTCGAGACATTAAGAACCTGGACAACACGCCTGGAGAGGATCCTCATTCTCCAGTAACATCTTGACTTGTGATTCCATAACATACTAGCTATGTGACCTAAGACAAGTGACTTACCTTCTCTGATCCTTAGCTCCCTCATGAGAATTTATTAGAAAAATGTTTTAGCACAGTTTGGGGAATCAATAAATGATTGCTATTATTAATTATTAATTATTATTAATAGTAGTTGAATTAAGATCTCCAAGGCCCAAGTGGAAGTTCCTGTCAATCCTAGCAGCTCCTTCTTTCTCTCCTCTCCCACGCCCTCAGCCCTCCCAATTCACAATCCCCTTTTCCTAAACTCAAGATCAACCTCTTCACCTAGCTCCTCTACCAAGGTTTACTCACCCTCAGTGCCTCCTGATCTCCACCTGATACATACTGTCAAAGAGTCCCCTAAAACCTCTGGGGGCAAAACAGAGGACCAGGTTGTAAGGATGGGGTAGTAAATGGGCTTTGGAGTGGGTGCAGCCCACAGATTTTAATCAGTGTTTGCTATATGCCAGGCACAAGGAATGCTACCAGGGCTTGGCTTGGGCACATGGTGAATGAAACAGACAGGCTCCCTGCCCTAACAAACCAAATGCTCAGGGGCCTAGGAAAATCCGGCCCAGAGAGAAGCCACGCAGGTGGTGACTGTAGAGAACTGGAGAGAGCTGCTGCCCCAGGGGAGGGTGTCTACCATTCGCCTCTGCCAGACTATTTCAAAAAAAGTGAGGATGAGATTTTAAGTCTGCGACTTACCTGCTGTGTGACTTTGCTGAAGTCCTTTAATCTCTCAGAGCCTGTTTTCTCATTTATAATCAGAAGATAGTAATAGCTACCTCAAGGACTCTTGCAAAAGCAAAACAAACATGGATGCTGGGAGCTAGCTCTAGTACAGACTTGGCTCCGCTATTTTTGTTGAGTTCTAGTCCTGGCTTAGCCATTCAGTCCATGAGACCTGGGACAAATCTGTTCACCTCTTGGCCCTGTTTCTCCAAATGTCCTGTAGAGGAATTCACCAGTGACTTCAAAGTGCCTTTCAGGCCCTGAAATATCTCAACATTTGTTTTAGACTGCCTAGGTGCCAGGGTTGGAGCTTTATAGAACTAATAGCCCAGCTAATTAACAATTAATGGAAACACCTAAGGGTATAAATACCCCGACCCTTGAAGCTTTAACAGCCTAACTAAATAACTGCCTACTATTACTTGGTTATAATTCCACTTCTTTTGTGATAACCTGCTGAAATGTGAAAGGGTTAAAGGATAATTAAAACCTGAAACTGAACAAAAGAAGTCTATACCTTAGGCCTAGTTTCTGGAACCCCTAACTACATTCTGTTAATCATAAAACTTGTAACGATGAGCTCATACACTAACTGCCAATTTTAGCCTGTGTAACCCTGCTTGCTTGCGTGGCATGAAAAATAATCAATTGTATATAAGCTGAAAATTACTGTTTGGCCATCGCCCATAAGAATACTGGCTATTGCCCATGGGAACATAGGCAATCAATCACTCATAGGAACATAACATTCTAACAACAAGCTTTCTGCTTCTGTACTCCCCGCTTGCACGCCTGACCAGTGGGTTGACAGGTAGTGAATAGGAGAGAAATAGACCTTTGTGTTTAAGATAGAATGAAGAATGGGATTTAGGGCTTAAAAACCTTGTATCTTGGCATTTCGGGGCTGCTCCTTTGTACAGGACAGCTGCCGGCTAATAAACAGCCTTTGAGAGCATACTTGGTTTGGTCTATCCTATACAGGCCACAACACTTTTGCCTCCTTCCTTGTATGCAAAATACAGTTGACTCTTGAACAACACAGGTTTGAACTGCGCGGGTCCATTTATATGCAGATTTTAAAAATAAATACATACAGTATTGTAAATGTATTTTCCTTATGATTTCCTTAACAACATTCTTTTCTCTAGCAGACATTATTGTGAGAATAAAGTAAATAATACATATAATATGCAAAAATATGTGTTCGACAACTGTTTATGTTATCATTAAAGCTTCTGGCCAACAGTAGGCTATTAGTAAAGTTTTTTGAGAGTCAAAAGTTTATAAGAGAACTTTTGACTAAGGGATGGGGTGGAGGCAGAAGGCAGCATCCCTAATCCCCTCTTGTTCAAGGGTCAACTGTATTCACCGTTGCTTTTCTAGGCTCTGATCGTTCAGCACACTCCCTTAAAGACAACTCTTGTTAAGGGTGGAAAATTTTCAAGTGAGCCAACTAGCTAAGTCAGCTACAGCGAAGAAATATCTTTAGATACCAGAAGTTGTCCTCCTTGCTTGGGTGTGGTTTAGGAGGTGTATTGTATAAGATATGAAGATGGTCAATGTCTGCTTCTGTAATCCACTTACTTGTTAACCAGGATGTGGTACTAGGTGAGGTATTGTGCTAATGGCCAACTTCTGCTTCTGTAACCTGCTTGCTTGTTCTAAGCTTTATAACTGCCTCACTCTCAAACCCCGGGGCTGATCTCCTCTAACCCTGCGTGGTAGAGAGTCAGTGCCGGCCGGCTAATAAAGGCTCATAATTAATCTCAATTGGCTCCGTGGGTCTCAGAATCATTCGCGCTATAACACTATCTTGCCACGGAAAGCAAGGTTTAACATCATTAAATAAAAATACGAAGGCCAAACCTGTTTCGACACTGGGGCTATCAAGAGATAAACTCTCTTGAGGGGTCTTAACAAGGACAACACAGGATGGCAGAGCCTGAAATATTAATAAGACCAGACACTAACATTAATAATTTACAGCTGCTTGCTGTTTATGAAGAACTTCCACACACATTTTATCTCTCCCTTGCAGCAACCTTTTGAACCTGGATCTAAGCTGGTGTCACAGCTCCAGAGGCAGGCTGGCAGAGCACAGTATGTCTGTCTGACTCCAAAACCAATGCTCTTGCCCTTCGTCCACTGTGGTCAACTCCCTGGTACCCAGTGTGTGGTCACAGATTATTCAAAGTTTTCATCCCTGGCTGGCCTCCCGATCTTGCAGCAACTGGGTCACCTCCCTCAATGCAAACTAGTTTCTCAATCCAGCCCAATATGTTTAAAGAAAATGTCCTTGTCTACAGCCATGCTACCCTAAACAAGACAAATCTGATCTCAGAAGCTAAGCAGGGTCAGGCCTGGGTTGTACTTGGATGGGAGACCACCTAAGAAGACCAGGTGCTATGGGCATAAAAAATAAAAAATAAGGGATTGTAAACTGACAAGGTCCTTGCAATCTGTGGGGTCAATCAAGGGTTGCCATGCCTAAAAAAAAAAAGAAAAGAAAATGTCCTTCCATGTCTTCCAAAACTAAACAGAAACTATTTTTTTATAACTGCACTTTAAGCCTCAATTTGCACTGAAAAGTGTGATTAGAATGAAATAAATAACTCTTAAAGAAATTCTTCTATGGAGCTCAGACTTACAAATGTTCTGAGGACAGGGAAGAACCTGGAGGAGAAAAAAGCGGGCGCAGCGAGATTGTGTAAGTTGGCTACAGTCATCCAGCATGGGGGACAGAAAAGGGACCTGAGTTTCACCACGGACCAGCCAGAACCCCTCTGGACCAGGAACTGAGGCTGGAGAGGGGCAGCCTCTCACCAAGCAGCCCAGCGATGGCACAAGCACTATGACAGGAGGCTGGGTCATCCTCTCAGGATCCTGAGGCAACCCACCCAGGTGCGACCAGGCCCTGAGAATCCATCAAACTCTCAACTTCCTCAGCCTTGGCCTGACCTGGTTGCTTACTCCAGCCAGGTCTTCGGGGACTGTCCCAGGGAAGCCTCCGGGTCCTCAAAGCCTGCAGGCTTGAGGCAAGAGCTGTGAGTGGTGCGGGGCTCCCTCTCCCCTTCCCTCACCGGGTAGGGGAGAACCCCATGCTCTCCTGACGCCAAGGGAGCCCTCTCCATGGCAAGGATCCTATGCTTTTTGGGAGGAAGAGCCCCTCGTGGTCCCTAGCTGTGCTGTTCCCTCTGTTTTCGGTTTCTAAACAGGGACCCTCTCACATCACCCAATTCCAGGTACTCACACCCCTTTTTGCCTTTAGAGTCTCCCTAAATTACTCCTCTGGTAGATGCAGCGAGCTCTCTGCCTATCTTCCTCCAGGCACCACGCATCTCCCGACCAGCTGTCCCCTGCTCCTACAAACTCACAGATGTGGCCTCCTCTTCCCTACAGCTCCGATTCCCGCTGGTTCCTGAGATGCCTCGCCTCGGACTCTGCTCCTCCGACTCTGCTTCTCCTTCCTGCTCCGGCTCCCTCCGCGGTGGTGCCCGCTGCAGGCGATTTCCCCGGGCAACCGGAGATCCACCCGCTCCAGCAGCGCAGTACCCCCTGTGTCCTCACTCCCAGCCCCACGCGATCCTCCCCACGCCCACACCCTCACACGCACACTGACCTTGAACTTCCCGCTGCACCCCGCACCCCGCTGCGCCCCGCGGGGGGGCACCTTCTAGACGTCATTCGCCTCTCCCACCGCCTCCCAGCCCAGTACCTGCTGCAGGAGGAGCGGAGCTGAGAAAGGCGGCCTTAGGCGTCCGGGCTGCAAACGCGCAGACAAAGGGGCGGCCGGGAGGCTGCCCCTTCCGGATCCCGGGGAGGACAGGGCAGCCGCTGGCAGCGAACCCGGGAGGCTCCAAGGACTCAGAGCCAGGTCTCCGCCCTCTGGGGCCTGGGCGATCGCGAGCGCCCACCTGACTGGCCTGGATGTTGCGCAAGCAGTCTCTTCCCCATGGCGTCCACGTGTTGCATGCAGAGGTGAAAAAGGTCACTCACACTGACGACAGAGTCTCGGGAGTTCCTTTGGTCACTGTGCAGATGGGGAAACGGAGGCCACCGAGCAGACGTGGTTGCCCAAGGCCCAGCGCTCAGCCTGTGGCACTGCTGAGGCTCCAGCTTAGCAGTTCCCACTTCCTGGGACTTGAACCACAAGCCCCAGGCCTTGTTGACTTGATAAGGAGGGAGCAAATTGTAGCAGGAGCAGGACAAGTTTCCCAGCTAGAACCCATGCCAGCACCGAAGCCACTTAAGGCCACACACGCCACCCCTCACTAAGCTACTTCTGGTCGAGATAAGCCTGGCCTTATCTCACCTATCTTCGCCTATTCCCCGAGGAACTCCACCCCACCTCTGCACCCCTGTCTTGTTCAAGTTCCCACCTAAAGCCTTCGCCTAGGGCTGTGTCTTCTGATCTGCCCAGCCCCGGGCATATTGTTTGGACCTATATTAAAACACTCACTTTCTACTCCCTAGTGTACATCTGCCCCAGGAGTGCGAGCACCTGAAGGGTGAGAGATTCCTGCACATAGTAGGCCCTCTAAATATCAGACCAACAATGGTGGGGATTGTCTGTTCCTCAAGTGTGCAAAGACCTGGACCAGACAGAGCGGGAAGATACCGATCTGGTCTTGGGAGCACACACCTTGATAGATGGAGAGCTGAGAGAAGACAGTCCAGGAGGAACACTGCTCTGCCCTCTGGGAGCTTTGAGTTCATTCAGAGAGGCAGCTATGGGACATGATGACAGGGCCCAAGTCCTTGCCCTACTCCTAACTCATCGTGTGACCTGGGCAAGTCTTCTTGTTCTCTATGGGCCTCAGTTTTGTTACCTGTAAAATGGAGATAATACCAACCTGACAGGGTTGCTAGGAGGATTAAATAAAATTATGGATATGAAGGTTCTTCGTAAACTGCAATATACTGGAGGAACATATATTTCTTTACTATAACAAAATGTATATAATCATAATATGATTGGATGAAACAGGTCTCTTCTTGAACAGATTCAGATGAACTCATAGAAATTAGTTAAATCTCCATTACCCACTTGGATAGGAAAAACAGCATAGAAAATCTAATTATTTAGAAAAGATAGGGTATAGGAAATGAAAACAAGTAAGGATATTATGGAGATTATAGTCTATTAGATGGAATATATTCTATCAAAGTGAGTAAAAATTTAAAACTTGAAAGGTAACTTGGATTCAGCTTCCATATTTGAAATACCTGTTCTGTACTGAGCTTGCTTTTAAAGCTACGGTTTACTAAGCTCTTCCTACGTGCAGTCATGAGCTAAGTAGTTGCCATGACTACCTCCTTTGATCCATACAACCCTATAAACCCATTTTACAAATTGGGAAACTGAGGATCAGAAAGGGGACATGGGGCTGTTATATTATCTCATTTAGCTTCATGTATTCCTGTGAGGGGAGTGTGATGACCCCCATTTCATGGAAAGCAAAACTGAGGCCCACAGGAGAGAAATGATGTATTCCAGGTCACTGCTCCTGATGTATTTGGGCTCTGAGAAATGGACCTGGAGTTGTGTTTGGGGAAAAGTCACTTCATCATAAAGCTTGGCTATAGTTATTTGAGAGTCGAATGATAAAAATTATAAAAGTAAGAAATGTGATCAGTTATGGAGCACTTGCTATGTGCCAGGCCTGATGCAAAGCTCCTTACATGCACTGTAGGCCCATGAGGGATTTCTGTCATTACCTCAGTTTATGGATGAGGAAACAGACTCTGGAGGATACTATTTGCCCAAGGCCATCCATTTGGCTAGTGACAGGCCTGAATCCAAGCCCAGCTCTTCTGCTACATACTACTGGTACCAAGGAGTGAAGCTGTGGGGCCAAGACACTTTCTTCCCTGCCCTGCTCTGCTCCAACCCCTTCTCTCAGCCAGGCACAGTGAGAGCAGCCCCAGGGCAGCCAAGAGCACCTCCCTTCCCTGCCCTCCCCGTGCCCCAGCTTAGGCCACCTGGGTAAGGCCCAGTGACTCCACTCTTATAAGAGCCCAGAGCCCCATAATCTTTTCAGCCCAGACTCTGGGTAACCTGTGCATCTTCCAGCTGCCCTCCCAGGTGCCAGGTTCAGATCTTAGAGGAATGGGGTTTTCAGGGAGGCTGGACTCCTGGGCAGGCCTCAGTCAGTACCTCAAAAGAGTCAAAAGGCTTCACGAGTCAGGCTCTGAGCTGGTAGACCAACAGAAAGGGCTTCAGTGGACCCAAAATGAGAGAAAGGATGAATGTGGGTGCCTGAGCTGTCCTGAACACATTCTTGTCTTTTCCCCAAAATGGGCGTTATTCATTGGAGGCAGCAAAGAGATGAAGCACAGGAATATATTCTGTCTGGTTCACATCTTAGCTCTACCACTTACCCTGTGTTACCCTGGGCAAGTTACATAACTTCTCTGGACATCTGTCTCCTCCACTGTAAAACACATTAATAATACCTGCCATATATCATTGGCATGAGGAGTAAATAATATATGTAAAGTGCTCAGAGTGCCTGGCATATAGTGACTGCTCAAAAAATGCCAACTATTATCCTTTTTCAATTCTTTACTCCTCCCTTTGCCAATAAGTGAAAAAAGAAAGGCTGCTCGTAAGCTCCCAGGTTGTGAGGTGGTTTGTTACATAGCATTATTGAAGCAATTCCTGACTCATACACATAGCAAAGGCAGGATGCAAAACCAGAGAGTCTGACTCGAGACCACAATCTCTACCATGCAAGGTGCAGTGGCATGGAGTGGAAGGAACTGATTTCCTACAGTCACTGCCTACAGGTCATTTAAGGTGACCTGTAGGTACAGTGGCATAGAGTGGAAGGGACTGATTTCCTACAGTCACTGCCTACAGGTCATTTAAGGTGAGTCTTACAGGACAAAGAGAAGTTCACCAAGCCACACGGAGGGGAAGAACTTTCCAGGCAGAAGGAACAGCATGTGCAAAAGTACAGAGGTGTGAGTGGTGAAGTAAGTTTAGGGAATGAATTGCCATGTTCTGGGGCTGGAGCATGGGGACTTGGTGGCACCAGATGACATTAGAAAGGTAGGGAGGGCCTCCCACCCCAGTGGGAGGGCTTTATCCTGAAGGCATGTGGAGACAGGAGTTTGAGATTAGAGAGGGTTTTCTTTGGAGAGAGTCGGGTAGGGTAAGGTGGCTTTCCTCTTACTTCAAGCCTAGTGAGGGGGCTTTAAGGAGACCAGTTAGAGGTGCTAGGTGTCCCTTGGGACTCCAAGGCCTGATATCCGACTCTTGCCCAAGAATCTCAAAGGGCTGGCTATCGCACAGGAGCAGAGAGCAGTAGTGAAAGGGAGTTGTGCTCCCACATAAGCAGGCCACCTGTGTGTGCTGCCCCTAGGCCAGAATTGGGCCACAGGAGAGAGTTAG